GTGTGTGCATTGTGTGTGCATTGTTGTGTGTGCATTGTGTGTGCATTGTTGTGTGTGCATTGTATATTGACGCGAAACTGTGCGTCTCCGTTTGTTCACACAGACAGCGCACCGCTAAGCACCGCACATCCGGGGACTTTGTATACATCGAAAGAGTGTTCCGAAGGGAGGTGGGGGGGGGGGGGGTTTACAGCAAGACCTGTAAAGAAATATTATTTCAGCCCCAATACCACTATAACAAGTTAGCAGTATCTTCATTGTTACGCAATGTACCTCAAACATTGACTATATATGAAACCATTAACAGTCAACTTTTCTGTTCAGAAAATCACCTGACTAAAAATGCACCGACGATAATTGTAAAAAGTGAGACACCCTTAGTAATTCAACAAGCAGTATTAATTTTTTAAGTTAATTAACATGTAATTACACGATGTAATGTAATGTAACGATGTCAAAGTTTATGTCACACTGAATTTTCATTCGAGCTTGTCCTACTTTGTGTCAAGTTTGAAAGAAATCGGTTCAGTTGGGTGAGATTTTAGAGGTTAGCTTGTGGTAACACGGTGCTGTGGACGTGGTTGAGTCAGACAAGAGCTACCGTCTTATCATCCTTATCCTGTAAGCTAAACAAACCTCCTTGTGCACATCTCACAGTTATCTCCTCTATCGAAGTTTGTCTTATCTCTGTCGTTTTATTCAACATGTTATTTTTAGGTCCACTGTAAACATCGTGTTTTGTTCTGATGGTGATAGACAAACCTATTAAGAAACCTGCAGATGACCGCTGAGTTCCGACAACTAGACCACACCTTTGGACAATTCCTCTTTTAAACATGAAATAAAAACCCCACAACAAATGGAAGGTTTAGGGACCAACAGCATCGCCCTATTGAACTTGGATAAAAGGAAGTGCGATAATTGAGCCAAATTACTTCCCCTTACAACGCCGGCCGTGTGCGATGTAATATTTACAGGTCCACAACTGTTCAAATCTTCACTGGCTACTGCAGACTTTACTTTTCTCCTAACACTTCTTGCATGTAGCCTAGACCCCCCCCCCCTCCGGTAGCTGTGTGTGACGTATCAAGTGCAACCCTTCCCCCCCCCCCCCCCCCCCCCCGCCCTTGATTGGGCTGCTAGTGTTATGGTCCCCACTCCATCAGCCCCCTGTCTGGCAGCCTCTTAGGGCCGACTTGCTGCTAGCACTGACATTCAGACCGGCCGGCCAATCGGCTTTCCTCTCTGATGTTTCCTCCACCAAAAATAGAAGAGTTCAGCCTTCATGTGCGAGCCGCAGCAACCCTAGAGTTCAAATGACCCGGATGTAGGTCAGGACAAAGTTACTTTTGACTAGCGTTGACGCCCTTGCTTCAGTTCATTTCTGCGCCCCCCCCCGTGTTGTAATTGGTGAGTAACTGGCTGACAATAAGTTCTATAATACTATATAGACTAAAACATTCAAGCAGAATGTGAGTAGATCAGCAGTGAAGCACTTCAACACTCGGACAACAGCTCACTGAGCCATGACCGGTTCGTGTTGACCACAATAATAAAACGACGTTATGTTACATGGAACAAATATCACTTTCAATTTCCCCTAAAAACAAAAGTACTCATATTTGTCCTTATATACACACCTGTAATAATAAATAACAAACTTTGAGCCATTGTTGTTTGTACGCCATTGTTTTGATACTTACTTTGACTACATGATGTCAAACGCTATCTATAGATTTAGACTTTTTACATGGTTCTTGAATTTGTTTAGTTTATAGAGCGTAGTGGATTAGCGTAGATTATACTCATAGAGCGTAGTGGATTAGCGTAGTAGTGTAGCGGTCTAGCTTAAGTTTACTAATACTATGTGTCTCTAGATGCTGTGAGCCGTATAGCGTAGTGGACTAGCTTTAGTTGACTATGTGTGTCTAGATTCTAGATGCTGTTAGCCGTATAGCGTAGCGGACTAGCTTTAGTTGACTATGTGTGTCTAGATTCTAGATGCTGTTAGCCGTATAGCGTAGCGGTCCAGCTTAAGTTGACTATGTGTCTCTAGATGCTGTTACCAGCCAGGATACACTCACACATTCCAGCTGATGAATCTTTCAGGCATCTCTGACCTTAGGACAGGTAGAAATCTAGGTCAGCCCTGTCACCTGTCCCCCACCTCCCCCACAACCTTGTCTTCTGCTCGACCCAGGCAAACATGGTCGTTTCTTGGCTAGGGTCAACCGTCGAGCGGGGATAGGGTCGGGGGGACAAGGGTCAGCAGGTCTAACCATTTCTTGTCTTGATGGTCACTTAGGTTCATCATTACACCGTGCTGGTTAGTCGGGTTCATCTTTACGTGTCTTTACGTTCATCTTTACACCGTGCTGGTCAAATAGAAAGCTCTAGAGATGTACCTAAGCATGCGATGTTGTAGACGGGAGTTTGTATGAAGACATCTGTGAGAGAGACGTCTGTAGTGTGGCCACAATGGGCGGGTGTCAGGGGTCCAGTTGACTCACGGATTAGCCGTCTATTTTTAACTTTGGTCCAGCTCTTGTTTGCTCACTCCGTCTGGCTGGGTGGTAGACGTGGTTGTACCACACAACCACACGTGGTAAGTCTGTAGGCAAACAGACGCACATACCTGTCGCACTGGGTGGCTGCGACACTCAGGTGGACGTTTCACAAGGTTAAATATAGGCCTACACACATTTGTATGTACACGTCCCCACACAAAAATACACACACATCCATACATAGTTTATGTACGTACGCCCAGTATCTAACTGATCACCAGCCAGCTGATAGCACTTCCTATTTGTGTTTGATGTAAATGGCATGAGATCTGCGCCTGTATTTGACGTGTAGAAAGTGCAGATATTTATGCGGAACTCTCTAATGTTGGACCATCAACAATGTCTTGTAACGGTGGCTATAAACATTTTGTTTTCAAGCCGGTCCTCTTGTTTTCTCTACACTGTACTCTAGGCTGTATGTTTGATGGATGCCGATAAGTTGGGTTTAAAAGGAAGTGGTTACTTTTAGACTATTGACTTCCGTGTGCGGATATGGACGAGAATATTGAGGTAAATATTTTCCTGAACTTGTGAGAGAACGGGATCTTATCTAAGGGCCTTAACTCGGGCTAGACGTCTGCCGTCACTGTTCGTCTGACTGGAAATTATCATATCGCTGTCGTTCAGGGAGGGGTGGTGGGGTGGTTGTTGTTGTTGGTTGTTGTATGTTAATCCTTGTATCGATATCTCTGGCACAATTAATGCCAGCATTAGCCGAGCTGATCAGTTTTGAACACCTCTCCTGCCCTGTCTGCTGATTCGTCCGTTTTCTCGATTGGGCCCTCGTTTTCTGTGCAGCCAGGTTTTCTAGTTCCAAGGAGGCGGGGCTGACCTAAATAGGCGTGCCTGTCCAGACGGATTGCGAGTTCAATGTCATCCGGCCGTGTTGACCTACATACCTGAGCTTTCCAGGCCACCTTCCAGATAAATATAGCGCATGCCCCCCCCCCCCCCCCCCCCCAATACAAAGAGTGATCTCCCCTCCCACTTTACTGGCACGTATGGCACAGAGCGTATGGAGGCATATTTTATTGTTAGCATAATTTATGTCTCGCCTCCACACGAGCAACATCAAGATTGTATACATTTTACTTTCTCGTATATACGAAGTATAGAGAAAGTATTGTAATCATGCAAAAAAAAAAAATCGAGATTTTTACAAATCTCGACGTTTTACACCTCACTGATACGGAAAAACATAATTTTGCAATCTTGTCCGTATGTCTGTGTGTGTGTGTGTGTCTGTGTGTCTGTCTGTGTGTAAACACGATAACTTGAGTACCGTTACAGCTAGGTTGATGAAATTTCATATATAAGTATTATATCAAAATCGTAGATCCGTATCAACTTTTGAGCGATTTCCGACAACCGGAAGTGGTACTTTTTCTACTTTGAATTTTTCAAAAGCCTATAACTTGAGTACTATTTCAGATAGATAAATGAAATTTCACATGTAAGTAAAAGATCTAATTCTCTACCTTCTGATAAATTTTGAGTAATTTCCGTTGACCGGAAGTAGTAATTTACGCTACTTCCGATTTCTCAAAAAACTAATGTAAATTTTAAAAGCACTAATAATATTGCGCACTATTATGCGCTTTTTTATTTGGCGTTCACTTGGTGTGCAATTAATTTGTCTACGAGATTTTAGTCTATTTTTTAAAACTTTAAGTAGGCCTATTTAAAATGGATTAAAAATCATGTCTATAGCCCGAGTTCCCACCCCCTGTTATTTTATATAAGAATATTCGAGAAAGTTTAGGGGAGATCACTCCCGGTTTATTTAACATGACGAACACTTTGATTCGCTGGCCTATTGCTCTGTTTGTTGTCATGTCGCAGGATGGTCAGTGGAAACTTTGGGTGGTTGAGGCTTACAGGCCTACATTATTTCAAACATTGGGAAAACTAGAGCCTTCATCATGCCATCAACCCTTTCACTTATCCCTTACTCAGCTTATTGTTTGGATTTTTATTTGCCTATTGTTTGTATTTGTAATTGTGCTCAGTGTATGCCAATATAGGTTTATGGGACGTGGGTCAAAAGTAATTAGGACAGGCGATAAGGGCCGGGGTAGTAAAAGAGAGGCAGAGAAACGGAGATAAGAAATAAAAGACAGTCACGCGCATATTTTTAACAGCAGTTGAACACAATTGTTAATAGTAATGATAGTTTACATCATGTTAACTGCATTTGTGCAGTGTTACCCCATTCATGACACCCTAGTCATGACACCCTAGTCATGACACCTCAGTCATGTTCCTCCAGTCATGGTACCCCAGCACTATTTAGATGTGCTGCCCTGTACCGTTGAGTGTGTTGTCCCCTGACGTAAGTATCTCTCTCTCTCCACCAGATGTTTACCCCCAGCACTATTTAGATTTGCTGCCCTGTACCGTTGATTGACCTAAGTCTCTCTCTCTCTCCACCAGGGCGGTGACAGACCCGAGGGACGGCAAACGTGTGGCCCTCAAGAAGATGTCCAACGTCTTCCAGAACGTCGTGTCTGCCATCCGTGTCTACAGGGAGCTCCGGATGTTGTGTCACTTCCGGCACGAAAATGTGAGTCCACTTCACTTGGTTTAGCTATAGAGTCGAGCTCTAGCATTCGCATTCACCTATGAATGGAAGCATACAATGTTAGCATACATTAGATCTTTCACAAGAGTTAGCATATTTGTAAAGAATGGTAAGATCTATCTCCCTTGATCCAATGGGTGTGTTACATTTTGTTTTTTTTCTCTCTGGCAGGTTCTCTCAGCCCAGGATATACTCCAGCCTGGCCCCATGGATTTTTTGCATGAGATGTATCCTTACTTTAACTTGCTAGTTGATGAGTGGTATCTGTTGTAAGGACAGTTGCTTTCTTACAGCATACAAAATTATGCCTCAGTACATCATACAAGAGTGTGTCCCCTTAACATAGTCAGTCCCAATACATCATACGACAGGTCAGTCCCAATACATCATACAAAAGTCAGTCCCAATACATCATACAACAGCCAGTCCCAATACATCATATGACAGGTCAGTCCCAATACATCATACAAAAGTCAGTCCCAATACATCATACAACAGCCAGTCCCAATACATCATACAACAGCCTGTCCCAATACATCATATAACAGCCAGTCCCAATACATCATACAACAGCCAGTCCCAATACATCATACAACAGTCCTAGAATCAGGCTGTGCTAATTACGACAGGACTAAAGTTGACCTGAAGTGGTTGGACCAAATGTGATCAAGTGCCACGTTGCCACACGTTACCACACGATAGCACAGTTGCACGTTATCAGCGTGGTCACCGTGACCTTTGCCCCCCCCCCCTACAGATTGATTAGAACAAAGAGCAGTAACTCCATTACCTAGACGTGACATGGGTTATTGCACCTTCTACATGCCCATTCAGCCATTTCTCATGTTGTACTCACCTAGCCCAGGTGTGTCCACGCCCCCCTCACCTGTGTACAAGCAGCCCTCACCCTGTGTATGGAGCCCCGCCCATGCGTGTAGGAGAGGGCAGGTTTGGTCACCTTAATCTCACTACAATCATACAAGACCCGTGAACCGGTCTTTGTCCGTGCCGGCTATTTATAGCACACTCTTTCTCTTAGATAACCTTCTGCCGTTGGCATTGATTTTCACCTGGTTTTGTTGGGAGCCCTTGTTGTAACATAGTGCAGGGGGGGGGGGGCAGTTGTAATTTAGGGAGGGGGAAGTCCGGTTGTAACTTAGAGCCCGGTTGTTATTTGGTTGTAATTTGCAGAGCACGGGTTTTCACTGGAGAATTACAGTTAAAAATGTATTGTTAAAATTTTAGAAACTAAATTAGCTACTTGCTTAGTGTATGAGGGGGGGGGGGGGGGGGGGGGGGCGACAAAGTTCAGCAATGACACTGTCAAATTTAACGGATAGAACATAGATTGTTTAGCTTTGGCCAGCTGGATTCCACAGTGGCTACTGGCATAGTAACTCTAATATATCCCACTCTGAGACCCAGCCATTAAGCCCATATGTAGGCGCTCACGTCTGTAGTGCCAGTACACCGCGTCATCACTGACGTCACCAGACTTACTGACTTTTGTGGTGGTTCGTGAGGTCAGGGCCTAATTGATAAGTTCCTATAATTTATGTTTGCTACGTACCTTGATACACATCTTACTCTCAGCTCTCGAATGGTAAGCAACAGTCTCGACAAGATGAGGCAGTCTGAATTAGACCGCAGCATTTCTTGTCTTTAATTGACGCCCGGTCCTGATTCCCCCGACTGTGTGATAGTTAGCTGTTGTTCCAGAATATTCTTGAGATGTGAGGTTCGATCATTGACGTCGCAGATTTCTCTCGACTCACCTCAAGACGGGAGACTCAAACCACACTAAGTTTAGCAGCGGGAAATCCCTGACATGACGTCACGTCTGTGTCACTGCCTCCAATAAGGATGTTAGTTAGGAGCGTCCTCCCTCAGTCCACCCCTTCAACTTGACAGTTTTGACGTGTGATACAACTGGCAGACAGACAGACAACTTTATGGCAATTTACTGGTGGCGTTCTAATGGTTGAAGGTTAATCCCGGCATTAATTAGCCCCCAGCAGTTAGGGGTGTGAGTATGTGAAACACTGGAGTGTATCTTAATGACGTGGGAGTTGTATCTTGATACGGGGGGGGGGGGTGGTTACATGTGGTTGGATGGTGGGGTTTGGGGAGTTTCAACCATTTACTATCAACTTCACAAAACTGTTACCCAAAATTTTATTCTGCGCGTGCGTGTGTGGGAGGTGTGTGTGGGGAGGGGGGGGGCTGATAACCACCACCCTGACGATTTATGACTGGCCCTAACTGTCACGTGACTACCGTTATTACAGGCACCGTGTGTGTTTCCACAGGCCCAGATTAGCATAATTTATTTCACGTGACCTAGCTTTGTTTAGTCGGGTAAAAATAGATTCGGTATGTCACCGTGTCCCACTACACCGCTCTATGTTGTCAGGCCAGGTTAATGGGATACAGGGACAGTTCAAGTCACATCAATCTGACGTGTCACATCTTAATGTGACGTGTCACATCTAAATTTGACGTGTTACCTCTAAATGTGACGTGTAGCCTCTAAATGTGACGTGTTACCTCTAGTTTTGCGAGGCCCAACTAAGCACAGAACAGGCTCCCCAAAGATCGCGTGATCGAACCCAGCCTAGCCGGCATGTCGGTTTACGTTTTGTTCTTTGTTTTAACAGACCGAAGGGAAACAACCTCAGCTGATTGCGGTATTGATCCGTCAGTGCAGGGGGAGTTGTCGGCACTGGTCCGGTCTTTGTAGCGGCCTCGTCTGGTGTGTCTGTCGGAGGTGTGGCCTAGCTAGGGGTGGTTCAGTCTGTGGTTGGCGTGACCCTGTCTGTAGTGGGCGTTACCCAGTGTGTGGTGGGCGTGGTCCACTCCAAGAACTCCTCTGCTGTAGGGACCAGACCGGGCGGAGTATTGTGAAGCCATCGATCTGACACCGTCTGTATGGTTGACTGTGTAGCACGGCTTGGTGGAGGCTGGCTGTGACTGTAGGAGCTGGGTCTACTGCCTCAGGACATGGTCTTCAACGTGCTGTAGTAGCCTCGTGGACATTCACGTGACACGCGATTCACTGTTTACTAACTACCGTAGACATGTGATACACTGTCCACTAACTATCCTATCGTAGACATGCGATACACTGTTCACTAACTATCGTGACACATTTTCCACCAATCACCGTAGTCACGTGATTTACTGTCCACCAACTCACTGAAAAACGGAAACTCTTGGGTATAAAATGCTCCGAATACACGAAGGTCACTGAGCCATTGCTCCAAATACACGAATGTCACTGAGCCATTGCTCCAAATACACGAAGGTCACTGAGCCATTGCTCCAAATACACGAAGGTCACTGAGCCATTGCTCCAAATACACGAAGGTCACTGAGCCATTGCTCCAAATACACGAAGGTCACTGAGCCATTGCTCCAAATACACGAAGGTCACTGAGCCATTGCTCCAAATACACGAAGGTCACTGAGCCATTGCTCCAAAAACATGAAGGTCAAAGAGCCAGTACTCCGAGGACATGAAGGTCACTGAGCCAGCGCTCAAAGAATTTACAAGCTCATCATGTCTGGATGCACGTAAAGTTTACCTGCGCGCCTCACTCCCCCATAAACATGCATTCCCCCCCCCCCCCCCCCCCCGATGTACACGTGAGAACGTGAGGCTGCACGTTTCACCTCCCAGTGACGTCATTTACGCTACCCTGGAACCAAGAATAACTTGACCTAACCTCAAACGGTACAACCGGCTCATAGCTCACCTTTGTCAGGCTTTAAGAAGGTACAGCGTATCTGGCTCATGGCTTACAACGTACCCAGCACAGTACCCGGCTCATAGCTCACCTTTGTCAGGCTTTAAGAAGTACAGCGTATCCGGCTCATGGCTTACAACGTACTCGGCTCTTGGCTTACAACGTACTCGGCTCATGGCTTACAACGTATCAGGCTCATGGCTTACAACGTACCCGGCTCATGGCTTACAACGTACCCGGCTCATGGCTTACAACGTATCTGGCTCATGGCTTACAACGTATCTGGCTCATGGCTTACAACGTATCTGGCTCATGGCTTACAACGTACCCGGCTCAGTACCCGGCTCATGGCTTACAACGTACCCGGCTCAGTACCCGGCTCATGGCTTACAACGTACCCGGCTCATAGCTTACAACGTACCCGGCTCATAGCTTACAACGTACCCGGCTCATAGCTTACAACGTACCCGGCTCATAGCTTACAACGTACCCGGCTTATGGCTTACAACGTATCTGGCTCATGGCTTACAACGTATCTGGCTCAGTACCCGGCTCATGGCTTACAACGTATCTGGCTCATGGCTTACAACGTATCTGGCTCAGTACCCGGCTCATAGCTTACAACGTACCCGGCTCAGTACCCGGCTCATGGCTTACAACGTACTCGGCTCATAGCTCACCTTTGTCAGGCTTACAGCTATCTGTTGTGTGAGGCGGGGTGTTTGATGGGTGTATGGGCCACCCAGCCATGGCCGCATTAGATAGGGCCAACGGTTTCCTGACTTGATGGATATGACTGATGCTTGACTTGATGGATATGACAGATGCTTAACTTGATGGATATGACTGATACTTGCCTTGATGGATATGACTGATGCTTCATGGATATGACTGATGCTTGACTTGATCGATGAACAAACGGCAGTATCTTATCTGATGCCTTGTATGTTTGAATTGAATGTATTGTCGAGCAAATATTGAGTCAGTAGCTGGCGTACGATGGGAGGGGGGGGTACTACTATTAGTTAGTCTAGTAGGTCGTTGTGTCAACTTGTCAGCTGTAGTCGACAGTAAGAAATCTTTGTCTGGTGACTCGCTTATTGATTGATACAAGCTGATGTACAACTTTGGTCGAGGTTAGCATGTTACTGTCAGTTCTCACGTAGAGTGTACATGCACATTTGCTGCACGGGGGGGGGGGGGGGGGGGGGCAATACGTAGAATGAGCATGAACATGCACCGTGTAAAGGTCAGACTAACTCAGGTATACACATTCTGCAGTGACCTGGAAATGAAGCGATATTTATCCAACCTCGATTGTTTTTTTTTTTAATCTGCCAGATTGAAGATAAATACTTGGCTTATTGCCGCGGCGGATTACTCTGTTCCCCGTCTAGTTGGTCTGTCCGGGCAGGATTATGCCCACTGATTGTGGAGGGCGTGAAATGAATTGATCCCCCGTACACGGACTTTGCTGACGA